ACCTCGAGCTTAAAGTAGAGCGAGTGTTTCATGCCCTTCTTCTCGCCCTGGCGGAGCCCACTCTGCTTGATGCCGCCATCCGCGCGCAGCTTTGGTGCTTTCGCGGGTGGCTGCTCGTCGTCGCTGCTGTCAGCGGCTTCGGCGGCAGCCTCGGTGACGGCGGTGGCGGGCTGGGTGGTGGTGGCAGCGGAGGCGGCAGCCTCTGCGGCGGCGGCGACTTCGGCGGCCGTCTCGGCCGCGCGACCGCTGCAGAACTTTTCGTGCGCAACGCGCGCAGGCCCGTGCAAGAATGTCTGCCCACAGCCCTTGGCGCACGACGTGAACTTCTCGGGCGCCTTGCCCACAGCCTGCAGCTGCTCGGGCGTGAGCGAGGTAACGGATCTGATCTGACGGCCTATGCCCGGCAGCGTCGCGTACGTAGTCCTGGTGCCACCAGCAAAGAACGCGCCGATCGACTTCTGCTGCAGCGTGCTATGCTTGCCGCCGCCGGCCTTCGCCTTCACCGTCCTCGGGGTGACAGCAGCGGCGGCGCTGCTCGAGGAGGAGGTTGCAGCTGTCGCGTCCATCGCGCCGCCGATGTTCTGAGGCTCTGATAGGCTGCCCGAGTCGACATGCGTCGCCAGCGCGGCGACCAGAGCTGGCGGTGCTGCTTCCTCCTCCTTCAGCTTGTGTGCGACGGTGTCGGTGAACGACGAGAGGAGTGACCGCAGTGCGGACGAGTCGTACGCCCCGAGCTCCTCGAGGACCGACACGACCTTTGCGGCGTTGCAGCGCTCGCGAAGGCTCGGGTGTGCAGCCAGCAGCACAGTGTTGACCAGCGCCTCCATGGAGTGCAAAAAGGATGCATTCAGCGTGTCAGGATGAATGCAAAAAGGGTGCAAATCCTGCACACTGCACACATCGACTACATCCACAGCAAGTCGCCATGCCGCCCTCGGGAGAGTGCCCTCAGCCACGCCTCCGCAAGGTGTACGTCCGCGCGCACAAGCGCAAGGTCGCCGCCACGAAGGACCCCCTCGACGAGCCGGTCGTGCCGCCGCTGACGCGCCGCCAAGCCCGAGACCTCCCGGCCCACATGGTGACCAAGTACAAGGAGGATGCGCTCAAGCGCCTGATGGCCCTCTCGCCAGAGAGCGAGCATGGGACACTTCACAAATTCTTCTCGCGCATGCCGAAGCCGAGCCCGGCTCCCGTCAACGGCGTAGTTGCCGCTGCGTCGTCCTCGACCGCTCCGGTCAACGCCGGCGGCAAGAAACGGGCGCGTGTTACCGCGCCGCCCGTCACGCCGGAGGGACTGACGCCGTCGCGCCGCAACGGCGTGAATGCGGCGATCCTCTGCTTTTCGCCCTTTGCCTAGGCGGGCCGGCTCGTCGCGCAGGCTGTGTCTGCTGAGGCTGTGTGAGGCTGTGCCCACACGACCCGACGCCCGGCTCCCGGCTGTTTATTTTGTGCGAGACTGTGAGCGCGGCGAGTGGGGGAGGGGGGCTGTGTCGGCCTAGCCGGGTGTCATTTGACAATTACAGATTTCATACACCCTCAAAACATGGCACCAACCAGATCGACAATCGGCCTCGCCCGTCACTCGCGCGTCACTCTCTGCGCTCACGGCTGCAGCAGAAGCTGCTCGAGCTCGGCGCGCACCCACGCGCACGTCGCTCGCTCGCTAGGCAGGGCGTGCGTACACGCGCTGACCACACCTGCAAGCGGGCTTTCATCGGGCACACACGGGCGGGTGAAGCCGTTCGCGACGATTGCGTCGAGCTCGTGTCGGAGGCGCGAGTCGCACTTGCCTGGCGCGTCGCCCGTGGCGAAGTGGTACGGGTCGCAGACGCCCGACGGCGCCTCGAGCGCAGCCAGGACACACCCTAGCGACCAGGCGTCGGTGCCACGCGAAAGCGGCACGACTGCGAAGTCGCGGGCCACCCGCACCTGCTCGGGCGCCCGCCAACCCGGCGTGCCTGAGTGCGAGAGCTGCGCCCCAACGGCTAGTCGCCTCGCCTGCCCAAAGTCACACAGCTTAGCGACAAGCCCCTCAGAGCGCGCCGACAGCAGCACGTTCGATGGCTTGAGGTCAAGGTGCACGATGGGGGGAGATCGCGTGTGCAGGTACGACATTGCTCTTGCAATCTGCACGCCGAGGGAGCGGCTCTCGCCCCTCTGATCCCCGATCAACAAATCTCCCAGAGTCCCTGCGTCGGCATAGTCGAGAGCGAGGAACGGCGTCTCGCGCGGGGCGCATGCAAAGCCCATCACATAGATGATGTTCTCATGGTGTAGTGCTGCCGCGATCTGACACTCGGAGGCAAAGGCGCTGCTCGCGCGCAGCGGCTGCTTCACCGCGAGACGACCACCGTAGTGGCGGCCAAGCCTAACGGTGCCTTGGCCGCCCTTGCCGAGGCGACCCTGGCTGCTGCCAAAGGCGATGTCGCGCAGGGCGAGGCCGCCGTACCGGCTCGCGGTCGGCGCCAAAG